CAAGACGTGGGACGCCATTCTTCCGTACGTGACCTTCGCATACAACACGGCGGTGCAGGAGACGACGCAGATATCTCCATACAAATTGGTCTACGGAAGGAGCCTGGCAACGACGATCGATGCCATGTTACCCAACGTCACCGACGAAGAAAACCTCGATGTGAGTGAGTACCTTCAACGCGCGGAAGAAGCCCGACAACTCGTCTCCGTATCAAGAATCAACAGACAACCGACAGCCACCGTTACAATCTTCGACGACGCTTCGTGGAATACCAGCCCAGTGAACGTGTTTGGGTGTGGACGCCGATACGCCGACGTGGACTAAGTGAAAAGCTTCTGCGACGGTACTTTGGACCGTACAGGGTGGTTCGACGTCTCGGCCCACTTGATTATGAGGTTGTCCCCACTGGCATCACGAACTCTCAACGACGCTGATCGCGACCTGAAGTCGTCCATGTCGCGCGCCTCAAGCCGTTTCATGCGCGTTGACAAACTGAAACAGTGTTTTTTGTTTTATTATTGTATCGTAATTTATTCATTGTACTTTCTTGCATTATTGTTGTACCTTCATCTTTAGTTAAAGCATCGGGACGATACCTTTTTCAGAGGGGGGCAATGCCACGTTCCATTTTCAAGGTTTTGTTATCGTCCCAGAACACTACACAATTCTCAGCGCAAACCGCGCCTGCAGTTTTCGAGAAGCTTCCGGACTGTAGTAGATCATTTCGATAAGATTACGCCTACTCTGCGAACTGTACAGATTATTCTGGAACCTACGCCACCGCCAGCGATAACGCTAGAACATTTAACGGCAAGAGTATAAATGCCGATACGCTTCGCCGCTTGTCAGTAGTTGATCGACGGCCGACGCTCCGTTCACTGCTATCTGTGCAAGACTGCTACTGTAATCGAACTTTCCGTTTACCGGACACAGGTTCGCCCGAATAAACAGTTAAATCCCAACATAAAGTCTCCTGTCTTCGGCCACATCACGACCCCGTGATAATATGCAGGTCCCAAAAATTTTCGACCGAAATTCAGTTTCAGTTTAGGCCTAGCGCAGTGGTACCATCCTCAACCGGTGTTCGCGCGCTTCTGCTATAGGCGCTAGGTAGTGCTAGCGGGGGTAGCAGGCGTTAGTCTTACAGACCCACACGTGCAACAGTAATCAGTTGCCTTTGCTTCAACTTGGCGGCCGTAACGACGGCCAGGATTTCGCTTCTGTGATATACTATGTTACCACCGTGCAGGCAGTACTCGGTTGCTTTTAAAAGGAAAGTTATGGCTGCTGTCAAAACCATTGGCAACTGTGCCGCAAAGCGGCAGTGCAGAGTCAACGAGCGGAGTATTCGCGGTTGGCGGAAGCAGAAGAACGCCCTGTTTGCTTGCAGTGGTAGCGAAAAAGTTTGTGCGGATCAATAAATAGAGAATTTCCTGATGTGGTACGAGAACTCGCAGACTTAGTGCGGGAGCAGCGAGCTGCAGATCTCGCTGTTAACATCGAGCTGCTACAAACGAAGGCAAGGGACATCCCTCGAGACAAAGGCATTCAGTCGGAGGATTTCAAAGCGAGCAAGCATTGGGCGTCTCTATTAATGCGCCGCGCTGGGTTCTCTCCACGTCGGCATACGTCGATTTCGCAAAAGCTACCAAAGAGCTAGGAAAAAGACCTTGTGAAGATTCAAAAGTACGCAATTGTGTTGCAAAAGCTTCTCCCCTTTCAGCTGGGTAAAGATCGGCAACGAGGATCAAACGCCAGTCTACCTGGATATGCTCCCAGCAGCACTGACTGTGAATCAGAAAGGCTCCAGGCATGTTATCGTGCGATCGAATAGGAACAATAGAACGCGAGTGACTGTAATGTTGTCCTGCATTCGATTGAACATGCGGAGTTCAATCGAGTGCAGGAAAGACTAAGCCGAAGGGGGAGAAGTTGCCGAAATATGTCATCGCCCCCTTCCAGGCCAAGGAGTGGATGGACGAATTACTAGTGCTTGACTGGATAAAGTCCGTGTGGTATCGACAGCTCTGAGCACTGCTGGGACTTCCTTCGATGCTTGTGCTCGACGAGTTTCGGTGTCATCTGACCAACTCCGTAAAGTGACTGATGCGCGACTTCCACAACGAGCTCGTCATCATCCCGGCTCGGTGCGGGAGTCGGCTGCAGCTGTGATGTCATCTCGGGTGTGATGACATCATCTCGGGTGGGATGACATCCCAGCTGCAGCTGCTTGATGTGTGCCTTAGTAAGTAATTTAAGGACCATGTGAAGCGCCTGTCCGTAGAGTGGATGAGGTTTGAAGAACCAGTAGTAACCCGAACCGAACAGCTTGAACAGGCCTCGCCAGCGATGCTATGCTCGTGAATAGTCGAGGCTTTGGCCTGTTTTCCCGAGGTGCTCGTTCGCCGCGCATTTGAAAGTGCTCCATGTTGACTGCACTTGAAGGCACTGAGAATGATGCGCTGTGGGAGAACATTTCTTACAAGGGAGCTTCAAAAGAGAGTGCATTCGACGACGATGATGAAATAAGTGTGTCAATAAATGCATTTTTTCGTTTTACCCTAGTTATACTCGGCCGAAAACTTTTTTCTCGCGTTTGCTATCCCCAAATTACATCCCGGACTATATGAGAGTCTGAGCTATTGTGGCTTTTAGAGTAAATGGGTGAACACGCTGTCTCGATTTGCCAATGTGATAATACAGTCAAACACGGTTATATCAAACCCACATATAGCCCCGCCGCGGTGTTCTAGTGGCTAAGGTACTCGGCTGCTGACCCGCAGGTCGCGGGTTCAAATCCCGGCTGCGGCGGCTGCATTTCCGATGGAGGCGGAAATGTTGCAGGCCCGTGTACTCAGATTTGGGTGCCCGTTAAAGAACCCCAGGTGGTCGAAATTTCCGGAGCCCTCCACTACGGCGTCTCTCATAATTATATGGTGGTTTTGGGACGTTAAACCCCACATATCAATCAATCAAACCCACATATATTGAACTCGTAAGTTATCCCCTTGAAATTCTTTTGTAAAAGTATTGAAATTCGCACGTTTATATAGAAAGATGTTTTTACCCACCTTCGAATATATCAAACACTGCGCAAGCTGGAAGGTGCACTTCGGCACTCGCCCCCCCCCCCCCCCCTTGCGATTTCTGCAGCAGCGCGGCTCTGCGCGCAAGTTGGAAAGCACGCTCTGGAACTCACAGCGTCCAGCGACCTTGACGCCTCCGCCAAAACCTGAAACGCTCAAAAAAAAAATAAAAGATTAGGGCAAGATGGCTCGGACTGCACAATCTCTAACTTGCACAACAGCTTTTTTTTTTTCCGTTTCTCTTTCTCTGTTATAATTTTTCTGAGTACACGTCGGCTCGCAGAGCAGGCACAAAGGAGCCGCCGTCCTCCTCCTTTCACCTTTTCTTATTTTTTGTTGCTGTTTTGCGAGTTTTGATCAGCCCTCGCAGGTGGCCATCGCCTCGCGAGCGCTATGTTGCTTCCGCTGTAGCATCACGTACGTACCACCACATGTGCAGCATTTCTCTTTTACCTGCGTGGCATGCAAAGCCGCTGTGGACTACTTAAATTGTCGACTTTTTATGTAGCTATTGCCAGCACCAAGAATGTGCAAGACCCTTGACTGTACGACGAAGTTGAAAGCTATTTAGCGCATTGAGGCGGGCGACAAATGTTCGACTATCGCGAACAACTTCGAGATACCACGGAGCACTCCCAGTACTTTGGTGAAAAACAAGGCAGATATCAAGGCAAAGGCGACGGAGCAGCGAACGTTGGTAGCCTGTCATGTGCGCGCTTATGCCCATGGGAATCTAGAAAAGGCACCTTATGCCTGGTTTTTAGAAGTGCGCACGAAGAACATTCCGGTGGATGGCCCGATGCTGATCGGCAAGGCCAAATGGTTTGCCACCGCACTTGCTGAAACATCTTCGCCGACAACAGCGGGTGGCTTCAAGGATTTAAGCAGCGCTACAACATCGTTGGCAACACCATTTCAGGTGAAAGCAAAGCTGTTAGCTGCCAGGATATCCAGCAGTGGATGACGAAGGAGTGGCTGGAAATTCCGCGAAGTTTTCTCCCGCGGAGATCTTCAATGTCTGGCAAGACGTGAAGACGAACACAGTGATCAACTGCTTCCGCAAGGCCTGCTTCGAGACAACGGGACTTGTGGAAACCGATGAAGATGCATTTCGCAAGTTGTCGTCCCGCTTCCCGGCAAGAGTTTCACAAAAAGTGTCTGCGAACGACTTGGTAGAAGCGGACTGCAATGTCCAGGCCGACAGCTCATGTGACAAAGAGGATCGTCCCTACGAGGTGCTGGCTACACGCGCGTACTTTGGCCTGAAGTAAGTGGCAGCAATGTTCGGCATTATTCGCCGTTGTATCGACCACATGGAGGAAACCGGACTGTTCCACCTGGACAGCCTTGATAAGGTGGAGACTAGCATCTTCAAAATTTCAAAAACGAATAATCAGGCCAAGATTAGCTATTTTTATCACGCAAATAAATCATTCTGTTGCGGTGTGTGCTCTGAATCAGTTGTCACTCTTAAATGCACCTATTGTCGGTGATAATCTGCTACAGGTAAGCTCTTGGGGCCTCTATTCGTTTTATATAGAATTTTTCATATATCGAACTAATTTGCGATCCCCTTCGAGTTCGATATATCTGTATTCGACTGTATAAACCTTCTATCATGCGAATACTGTGAGAAGTAGTTCTGGTGAAAGATTTTATACGGTGGATGTAAACACTTCTGATGCTTTCAACTAAACGTCACCTTAAAGGTGTTTACAAGTCTTCAATCTTTAATATGAATAATGTGTTACATGGGCAGCACATTGAGGTTTTACTTTTACATGCACTGGGTTTTCAATAAAACTTTTCTAAAGTAAGTATTATGCAGCAAGTATTACCAACATTAATAAAGAATATCAAAAAAGCTATAAGAAGTAGCACTGCCCTTTTCAAAAAAAGCACCGCAAACTGACCTGTGTTCCTGGCTCCAGGGTAAGAAGATGAGCCGTCCTCCTGAGATTTTGAGAACACTGGTGGTGTCTCACCAAATGTGATGATCATCACCTGAATGAGGCCCAGCAGGTCGGATGAGCTCTGCAAAACAGCCATGCAACAACACAACTGCTTTAGTGGCAATTCAAGTGATGCACTGCAAACATCAGGCCTCGCCGCAGCTGTTGTGCAGAACTCCTCCAAAACAGCATCTTGGAAGCATTTGGCAAGCTCCGGAACAGAAGGATAGTCTACAATGAGGGAGATATTTTCACAAAATGGAAAACAAGACATGTGTAGAGCACAATCAGTTATAACTAAGACTTCATGCTTTTGTAACTTATTTTTGTTGATATTCAGAAGATATTTTTTCGAGTTTATTTTTAAGGAGAAAATTTGCCGTTTATTGGAGCTTATTTCTCGTAAATTCCAAATCCTCCGAAATTCGGTGTTCAATTTTGCATTATAAGTTGTGCTCTGATTAATGTGATTTCCAATAAAAATGCGTCGCATTGTTGCTGATAATCCCATTTCTCCAGATTTACATTCTTTTTTTACTTGCTGCTAATAAGACTGTACTGCTGTGAATTCGCCAAAGTTCATTTTCAGGAACTAGTCTCAGTTTCTCCTTCCTGCCTCTTTAAACTTCTCAATGAAAAATAAATTTCTTACTGCGATTCTTATTCCCAATACTCCTAAACCTTAGACGAAATGATCTCTGAACACAAAATCTTGCAAACATACTATAGGCATTTTAGATGTCCTTAAGGTCTGAGCACACAAACACATACACACTCAAGTCCAAATACCCAAATATAAAACAATCACGTTTGTTTATGTTACTGCCTCAATAAGCTTGTTGTATAGACACAAATATATTTTACAAGGTTGCTGCTGCTGACGGAGGTGTGCTCCTTTCGAGTGATGATTGTGAGCTTTGAAAATGTCCTTTCAAAATTGAAAATACCCTCTTAAAATCGGAATTTATTGGTTAAATCTGATTTGTGAAATATGTTACCGCACGTGTTTACTGAGGCTGGTTTCCCGAAGTATGTTTTGATGGCCGTTGCTGAGTGTATACTCTGAAAAATCAGAATGAGCCCAGAGACTAATGCTCGAACCCACACAAGGGATAAGGGCTGGAACAAACGAAACTTTATCGTTATTCCCTATATTGAGGGCTTCGCCCACAACCTCAAAAAAAGTGGCCAGCAGGTGCGACGTAGAATTGGTTTTTTTTCTGCCCCAGAAAACCTGGCTAAGATGAGCAAGGTCGTGAATCCTGGTTTAAGGAGAGAGCGAGGCTGCAAAATCAAGCATCGGAACAAGTACATTGCATGCATTGAAGGGGTGGTGTATGCTCTACCTCTGTCTTGTGGCAAGTGGTACATCAGCCAAACAGGCAGGTGTTTAAATGAGCGGTTGAAAGAGCATGCTCACAAGGTCTCTTCTACAGTATTGGGCCACCTCGGCATCCATTACCGGGACACCGGTTGTGTCCCCGACTTTCAGCATTGTAAGGCCATTAGGCGTCATTAGGATCAGATGATACGTGAAATTTATGAGGGCGCAAAAATGGAAAGGCTGTGCAATCTCTGTGTCAGCAGGCCTTCGATAGCTCTATCACAAAAAGGAATAGATTTTCTTCAGAATGTTGGCAAACGTGATGTTCATGGCGGGTTATCACGATGATACTTGGTTGTTGGGCGAATTCTGTTTTCTTTGGTTAGTCATTCCTCTTATTTGTCAGATACTGCTCAAGTATATAATGTGCAGTTCCAAAATAAATCTTGTTCTAAGCCAGTGCCGCTGTCTGTTTCTTTCTTTTCTTGTCCCTTGTTATTGGCGATGTTTTTATGTGAATTATGTCGTACCAACTCGCCCAAGCAACCACGTTGGCTACTTTTATTAAGAGGCATCACATTATTTATTTTCGTACCGGGCTCCACTCGTGCAGATAGGGCAAGAAGACGCGTCCTGTCTGGTCCACGTGCCGGGACACCTTGATCTGCATGTAGCTTGTGGGCTTCACGTAGCACATGGGCGAGTTGTACGGGTGCGTATCCAACAACCAGATACACACTGGGATGTTGTATGTCGTGCCTGCACAGTCAAAAACCAACAAACTGAAATTTCAAGGCAACTCCCATAGAAAGCTGCTTCATCTCAATGCCATAGATTTTAGCGGCTATCAAATCAGCCTTAAGAATTGGCCATAGAGAGGTGCACGTAATAGGTGCCTGCTCCTTCTGTGGGAAAGGTCATTCGCGTTTCGCTAGAATGAAGAACGTTGATATCAGATTTCTCTATACCCAACCGAGCAATGAACCTGCCTGCGATTAAAATGCTGCATTACAGCTAGCGGGACAAAAAATGTTTAAGAGGACACACAACTGAAAGTATAAACGACAAGTGCAAACTAACGACTAAATTTAGTACAAAAGAAAACATGAAGGAAAAAAGAATTGCAGGAAAGGGAATGATAGGTTCATGATGGGGGTGGGCGGGCAGCGATATTCTGGTGCTACACATGGGATGATTACAAGATGTGGTGATAATTCAAAGTTCTTTTCCGAGTATGCTGATTCAATTTCTACATGTGACTCCTGATAAATTTAAGTTCCGTAAGGATTAGCAGAATGGAGCTTGAACTCACACATGGGCTTTGCTGGTTCGATATGTGAAATGCTCCCCATATTTCATGTGTGGTCTTATTCTTTGATTTGGCCGTGACGCTTTTTCTAACATTGGGTTTACACCAACACTCCCTGCAGTGCCTAGAAAGATTACCTGTAACTGCAATATTTTGGCATGCATAGCGATGCTCTTTGAGCCGCTCATTGACGCATCTTCCCGAATGCCTTGCCCCTTGTCGCTGGGATAGTGTATGCGATGCCTACTTCACATTGAACACATTCATTCACATGCCATGTTTAGCATTCTTCTTTCTTCCCTTAGTTTTCTGCCTTCGTACTTGACAGGAGCTGAAAAGACAACGTTCGGCGCAAGCCTATATTCTTCAATTTATGGGATGCCTTTGTGAACATACGGGGCCACTACCAGCTTTCTAAAAGCCTCTGGTATGAGTGAGAATCCAACTTAGACCTTCGTGTGGCAAGCAGGCATTCCACCACGGAGCCACACTAGTGCTTAAAAGAGCTACATAACGACAATGCTATAAGAATGTCATGTACTCAGAGGATTCCCCTTAATGCATGCATGTATGTCCTAGATCGGGGGGGGGGGGGGGGGGGGGCATGTGCTTTGGCGATGGATTGAGAAGATGTTAGGTAGAGCTTGCCCTTGTGCTACAGTGAAAGTTGTTGGGGACGGATTTGAACAAGGAAGGTGGTAGAAATGCACTGTCCATGCCATAATGTGCTTCATCACTCGCAAAAACAAATTTCTTCAAGCTATAACTTGGTCAAAGAATTTTATTACCTCTGGGCAATTCGAGGAGCTTTTAAACTTTAATGACCTCTTCAGGAGATATTGCTGCCATATTCTCGCAGCAGTCCTGCAGTTAAGTCCACGCCAACACAACATGGCAGCACTCAGATTTTCTTTTTCATGTTTTTTTTTCTTTTCTTTCCTCTTCAACACTTTCCTGTTCGTGCCTATACTAATTGACAGTATTTCGTTGATGGTTTCAGTGGGAATTTTATTGCGTTGGGAGCACATACATGGAGCTAGCACTATCTAGCACAAGGGAGATGTTTAAAGCACTTTTTATTCGCACTTGAGTTTCAGACACGGCATCAACGTCGCGTGCAGCTGCCCCTTAGAAACGACGAATTTCAAAAGATTCTGACAAGTCTGCATGAAAATTTTGTGATGCCGGTAGCAGCAAAGACTCGGAAGATCAAATCAAGTCAAATTTATTTCATCTTTCGAAGAAAAAGTAAAGTTAGGAGCTGTCACAAAAAGCTACTACAGTGAGTAGTTTGAGGAGGCAACAGCTCCTCCTGCTAGTTACACAAAAATTTTTGACACATATTAGTGCAAACTATAAAACATTGATATAAGAATTAAAAAAACAAACGTGAAATATTGATGTGTAAAATCATCATCATCATCATCAGCCTGACTACGCCCACTGCAAGGCAAAGGCCTCTCTCACGATCCGCCAATCATCCCGGTCTTGTGCTTTCCAAGGCCATGTTATACCCACAAACTTTTTAATCTCATTGGCCCACCTAACTCTCCGTTTCCCATTAGTGCTTTTGCCTTCTCTGGGAATCCAGTCAGTTACCCTCAATGACCACCGGTTGTCCTGCCTACGTGCTACATGTCCGCCCATGTCCATTTTTTTTTCTTGATTTCAACTATCATATTCTTAACCCCGGTTTGTTCCCTGACCCAGTCTGCTCCATTCTTGTCTCTTCAACTTACACCTATCATTTTCCTTTCCATTGCTCACTGCGTCGTCCTCAATTTAAGCTGAACTCTCTTTGCAAGTTTCCAGGTTTCTGCTCCGTAGGTAAGTACTGGCAAGATGCAATTGTTATATACCTTCCACTTTAGGGATAGTGGCAATCTACCAGTCATGATTTGAAAGTGCTTGCCAAATGTGCTCCACACCATTCTTATTCTCCTAGTAACTTCAATCTCATGGTTAGGCTCCACAGTTATTACCTTTCGGTTATCACATGTATGTGAAGCATATAAAGAGTGTTATCTGAACGTCTGTGTGCCATTACATTTTTGACCTTTCAAGCAGATCAGAAAGGACTTTGAGGCACGGACAAAGGGTATCATCTGCTAGAGTAGTTAATTAATATTGGTCGTTCGTATCACTATTACTGCTAGTAGTATTACAACTGAGCCTTCTATGTTTATATAGCAGAATAGTAAGTACTATTGCCGGCATTGATTTGCTCCCGACCATCTCGCTCATTCTGCCATAGCTTAGTCACAACTGTCATGCAAACACACAATAGCGCTTTATTGTTGTGATCTTGTTTGTGGTACTTTGTCACATGTGCTGGAAGGTCTGTGAAGCTTTGTCATGATACTTCATAAACTTTTATTGATCAGAACTCCTTGCCACTTGTGTAGACACTTTATCCGTCTTTATCTTGTTCTCTTGTGTATGTTGTTCTGAAGTGCGATGTCACTGTTTGTATCTAAACGCGCATTTTTCTAGGTTAATTGCTTCTCCAAGTGTGCGAGTGTTTATGTTTCGTGTTTCATGTCTTCTGTGCTCAGCTTGATTTGCAAGACGTACGTGTTTGGTTTTACCTATTTTACCACTTTTATTTCACGTTATTAGGCTAACCATTGGTGTAATTACTAATACGCATAGCTGACTCCAGTCTGAGGGCCATTTATGTCCATTTGCCCGAGTGTTCTTTTTATTTACTACCCCAAAACGTCAGCAAACTAAAATACAGCCTTAAAGGGAGCTCCTGTCTAGGAACAAGAAAGGCTATGTCGTAACCAATATGTATAATTGATTGATATGTGGGGTTTAACGTCCCAAAACCACCATATGATTATGAGAGACGCCGTAATGAAGGGCTTCGAAATTTTGACCACCTGGGGTTTTTTAACGTACACCCAAATCTGAACACATGGGCCTGCAGCATTTACGCCTCCATCGGAAATGCAGCTGCTGCAGCCGGGAATAACCAATATGGATAGGATAGTGGAGATGGCAGAGGAGTTCTACAGAGAGCTGTACAGAAGTCAAAAGAACCAGGATGGCATTGTGGGGAACTATAATACGCCAAGAGAATTTGACATCCTACTAGTAAGGAAAGGAGAAGTAAGGAAAGCCCTAGAAGGAATGCAATGAGGCAAAGCCGTTGGTGAGGACAAAGTAACAACGAACCTCCTGAAAGATGGTGGACAAATTGTGTTACAAAAATTAGCTGCCTTCTATACAAAGTGTCTCTTGATGGGAAGGGTACCAGAATCTTGGAAGAACGCCAACATTATCTTAATCCATAAGAAAGGAGACGTCAAGGACTTGAAAAATTACAGGCCCATCTGCTTGCTCTCCATTCTTTACAAACTATTTACAAAAATACTAGCTGGTAGAATTAAGACGTCACCGGAGTTGAATCAGCCAAAACACCAAGCAAGATTTCGTACTGGCTACTCCACAATAGTACTATCAATATTAGTACTATCAATCAGGTAATAGAGAAATGAGCTGAATACAACCAACCCCTAAACATACCTTTTATAGATTTTGAGAAGGCCTTTTGCTCAGTCGAGACATCAGCAGTAATGCAGGCACTACGAAATCAGGGCATCGAAGAACCTTACATAAACGTACCGGAAGAAATCTACAGAGGACCCACAGCCACCATAAATTCTGCATAAAGGCAGCAAAAGAATCCCAATAATGAAGGGTGTAAGGCAGGGAGACACTATCTCTCCTATGCTATTCACCGCATTTTTACAGAAGGTATTCAGGACCCTAGACTGGGAAGAGTTAGAGATAAGAGTTAATGGAGAGTACCTTAGTAACCTGTGATTTGCTGATCCCGTTGCCTTGATGAGTAACTCAGGGGACGAATTACAGTTCATGATTACTGAACTGGACACGGAAAGCAGAAAAGTAGGTCTGAAAATTAATACGCACAAAACTGAAATAATGTGCAACAATCTCGGCAGGAAACAGCACTTTACGATACATGGAGAGGTGCTGGAAGTTGTGTAAAATAAGGGTTCTAACAATATGAACAACATTTTGACTTATTTACATACATATATCACTGAGCTCTTTCATTGATCACATTTTAATATCGACACCATTTGTTCTCTGCAACTGGTTTAATAGTAATGATACCTGGTAACGGATCATTAGCTTCCCATAGTTTGTGCAACGTAACGGACCATTCGCTTCCCATAGTTTGTGCAACGTCGTGCCACTTGCCACTTCTCTGTGTTTCGGTAACATTGATTGATTGACGCACATGACACCAATTCATCAGACCTTAGCACAGGTAGTTAAAAAGCATCAAATAGCCCCGGAATGTTGGCAGGTATCCACCGATAAGTTTCGTTTTCGGCTCTGAACCGTTGCAATGTGGCGGCGATGAGATCTAAAAACATCCAGCGTGTTCTAAAAGATGTGGTTCTTATCTACAGGG